CGGGATGGGTATAAATATTTCACATCACACAGAATCTGAACCTTAGCAGCCAGCCTCCCCATTAGAGAAGAAGAGCCAGACGCTGGAGAATGAAGCCGACCGCCGATTGCCGCCGCACCGGAGCTACCTTTGACTGCCAAAAAAGGTAAAAATTCTTCTATCCACTCATAATTCGATTCTGAGTACCTCTGCAATCATATTAGAGCAAAACAAACGACAGGTAAGCTAAAAACTGCGGGTAAGCCCGGCGGGGCCGCTGCGGCCCAAAACCCCCAATCTCCTCCAATGAGCCCCTTCTCAGTTCCCGTTTTGTACGATTATTTTACCTATGTGTTCACTGTTCTATTTTCTGTAGGTTGACCGAAGGAGGAATCCCAACCGCGAAGGAGCGTCGGTGGAGCTGCTGCACCCAAAAACTCCACCATTGGTAGGTTTTGATTTTTTAATTTTTTTGGCCAACTGAGGCTCCCTAACGTATTTTTTCGTAGAAATATGTATAAAGTTGGCTAAAACCGGCCAAAATCAGCAGAAAACAGCCAGACTGAGGCAAATTGTAGCCGTGGGCGGCGGTGTCATCATCGGAACACGGTGATGCTGCCATGCCAAAATCCTAAAATTGGTCGGAAGGAATTTTTAACATCAATTTTAGATTTTTAAGGTATTTTTTAGGTATGTGGAGAGTGTTTAATCTCCGTAGAAAAATTCAAAAAATCTGGGGACCACTAGGAGGTGCAGTAGAAAGTATAGTATTTTGGACACTGATTCGAATAAGAATCTCTCACTCTCTTCTCTATTATAGAATTGAACCTTAAAAAGCAATAATATGGTCTTATGTAGAATTTAAAAAACTTTAAGAATAATTATAAGTCACTAATTGAGTCAGAACCGGTTAGTTCTTTATTTGTCTTGTTTAACTGATTACTTGCTCATACAGCTTTAGATACATGATAATATATTAAAATAGTTAAATGATTCAGTTGTGTTTTCTTGATACATATATCGCTTGCTTTGTGTGAGTTATGATTGATTGTGAAACATGTAATTAATATATAGATGGGAAGTTGTTTGATGATGTGAATTAATAAATAATTGTCTTCCTGGATATCTTGATAGATTGTGGATGGACCAGATACATAGGGAACCCTATCGTGAATGTCACCTTATACCGGACGAGGTATCAAGAGATGATATTTTTTGCGCTCATACTGGATAGGGTATTGGAATGGCCCGGTTCACCCTCATACCGGATGGGGTATTGTGGGATGATATTTTGGCACTCATACCAGACGGGGTATCGGACGGTTGGATAAACGACAAGTTTAGATATTGGGTTCACGTGTAGGGAGACATCCCTATGGATCCCCAGAAATACTAGTAAGCAGATAAAAAAGGAAAAGTTGTTGTTCTTATTCACTTGTATAAAGAGATCATAATGTCATTTGAGTTATTGTCTTTATAGGTTGATTTTGAAAATCTCATAACGATAAGTATGCAATAAATGGTTTTCTTTGTGATAAATGAACTTATTTAAATTAAGAGCTCTATTAGTTATTTTATGTTTTTTTTTACCAACCTTTAGTTTCTGTATCGGTGAGTAGTGTGCTATTCTTATTGGGCTCGTGCAGCTCATCCCTATTAACCATTTCAGATTAAGAAGATCAAGACTCAGATCCTGATCTGTAGGAGGGCTGTGAGTAGGTGTCATCCAGACCCTATCAAGAGGTAGTGGAGGTTAACCTCCCCACAATATTTATTTAC